CATGTTGCCGTTTCCTGTCTGCGGGTATGTCCTCAATGCTACAGGCTCGTCGCGCTGCGAATTTGTCGAGTTAGGAAGAGCGATATAGTATAGGGTACTGATAGTAGTGTAAACTAGCGAAGCGCTTTCTTGCTTGGGGTGGAGCTGCTATGGCGAGGACACGTCTATTGCCGTCCCCACTATGACGCGATGTGTCAAAAGTGCAACTTGGGTCAGTCCACTTTCTCAATATCGTCTCAAATAGTGTGCGCCGCTCATGGAGGAGGATGCTGGCAGCTCAACGCTTCCACATAAGGTCAGCTGTCCCAACCAACCGGAGATGCGAACAAAAAAGAAGACGCGCTGGCAAATGCCATAGGACAGGATTGGCCCAACTAAAAGGAGTGAGACACTGTTGATACATGTCATGGTATTGAAGTCCACATCGTGGCGATCCGACAACGAGATGTGGACGGGCGCTGGCCACACACTGACGACGCTCCTCGAACGAACCTAGCACACACGACAGACTTGACACGTGATTCCTGGGTCAACGGTTGTAGTAGTGACGACAGTGTGTGGTCTATGGTCCATCCAGGGCATGTTGGCGGAGGAATATCTGCCGCAGAGGCCAGGCTTCTTCTGAGGCCGGAACGTCAAATATTGGGATGCAATTCGATCGCGCGGAGCTCAAAAGTTGATCATCTTTCAAGTTTGCTGCAAGCGAGAGACGGAAACGTACATAATAGATGGGTTACACTCTGCACACGGTGGTCGAGCAAACTTGAATTTCAACGGTATCGATGATGTGGAGATGGCCAAAGAGAAAGCACTTGCAGTCGAGAAACCAACCGATGAAGTGAGTTGGCAGTCTCGGTGCACATAAGAATGGTGTGCTGCTTCAGTTGGCGTGACACATGTGAGCACTGATGGCCTGAAACCGAAGCGGTTTCGGCTAGCTGGCTGAGCTAGCCGACGACGCTAAACGGATCAGCTAACCGGCTGTCCGTGTGGTCAAGCGGCTCTCACTGGTCGAGTGTGTCGGGGAAACGTCATCGCCAAGAGTTAATCCCTTGAGATGGCTCGTGCAAAACCCATACGCCGAGTGGCAAATGTTGGCGAAGTGAGGAGTCATACAGGCGGCAACCAACCAACAAACCCCCCTTTTGGCTGCAACTCTCCGGTGCGTTGGGTTTGACACCGCAAACGTAGTCGATGCGAGGTATGTCATTATACCACATTGACTATGCAAAGGTCGACAAGGTTGAACAAAATAGAATACACGTACTACTTGACCAACTATTAAACGACTAGCCCGTGATGACGCGCACGCCACGCCGCACGACCTTGTGCGAGATGCTATTCGTAGGCTGCTTGATAAACATCATGTTGGGCGGCAAGTTGAATTCTTTGCTGAGCCAGACAATGACCGCCGGTTCAAACCAACCGCGGACCGTGAGCACGTCCATCTTGATCTTTGTGTACAAGTTGTCAATCACTTCAACGCGCTCCTTCAGCGTCGCAATCGTCCGGAGCGCGTCCTCGGTCGGCTCGGGATACACAAACACGAACCGAAGCCGGCTCGTGAGCTCGTTCTCACGCACATACAGCGTCACCTTGTTCATGAGCTTGAGGTCCGGCGTCTTGATGAAGAAAAAGTACTCTTGGGCCTTCACCCGCTTGATCGTGCGAATGAGCGCGGTCGCGCACGCGTGCGTCTCGCGCTCGAAATCTTCATTGTCATCGTCGTCGTCGCCGTGGTCCCCAAGGACGTGGTGCTGCCGGTTGTGGTACACGGTGAGCATCGCGACGTCGTCGGTGTCGGTCGGTTTGGCGCCGGTATCGGTGACAACATTGACCAAAAACACACAACAGCGCAGAATCGCGACGCGCCCGAGCATCGTAAACACAACGAGCGCGATACCGAGGACGTAGTAGAAAAAGTAGGCGAGCACGGACGGGTCCCCGAGCACAATGCCGAGGTAGCCGACAAAAATGCACAGCGCACCGCCGAGGCAGACCCACCACGGCGCGCGGACATCCCGCGGAATGTGCTGGCGCTTGACCTTGAGCACCATGCAGCCGACCGCAAAGAGAAACATCATGGACAGGAACGAGTAGGTGTAGACGCCACCGAGGATGACGTTGTCGCCGTCAAGTAGCCACACGAGCGACGATGTGAGAAAGAAGAAGCTCAGAATGATCCAGTGCGTCGTGCCGCGCCACGCATTCTTGCGCGAGAGAAACCGAGGAAGCACGCGGTCGGTGCTGAGGCGGCGGAGGAGGCCGTTCCCACCGACGTACGCGGTCAACACCGCACCGGAAAGCACGCAAAATGCATCGACGCACACGAGCCACTTGAGCCATTCGCCGCCCGCGACCAAACCCATGTTGGCGAGTGCCGTGTTGGCGTTGTGGATAAGGCCGTTCGGGCCGTAGAGCGGCAGCACGCCCATCGAGAGGATCGAGAGCACAATGTTGAAGATCGACGAGAACACCCACATGTTGCGCATCGTCTTGCGAAAGATGCCGGGTTGCTGGTGCTCGACAAAGTTGGCCGACGTCTCGTAGCCAGTCACACCGAGCATCGACGCCGCAAAGCCAAAAAAGAGTGCCGTCCCGACGGTGCCGTCAACGACCGAGCCGACAAAGTCGACCTGCGGGTACGGCGCGTTCCAATTCTCCGTCAGAATCGTTGGGTGTTGGATCTAGAGCAATCCCAATGCGAACTGATAGACGATAGAAGCCTTAGAATGTAGGTTCGTACCGTGTAGACCAAGCTCGCGACTGCAAGGATTGAAAGCGTAATGATGTGGAAGACAAAGATGACGAGCGCAACGACCGCCGACTCGGAGAGACCGAGGAAGAAAAGTAGGGCAAACGCGCCGAGAAGGCCCACGGTGGTGCTAACGACCGGCAGCTCGGGCACGACAAACTGAAGGTAGTAGCAAGCGGATGTCCCTGAAACGACGGCCGTCGCCGTGTACGAAAGGATGCTCAGCACGGCCGCCACCGACGCAAACCGCTTGGACGTCGTGTTCAAAAGGCAGTTGTACGAACCACCGTTGATCGGGATGGCCGTCACGACCTCTTCGTAGATGAAGCGGTACATGTAGAGCACAAAGGACACCATGACCATGCAAACTGGCGCGAGGTTCCCGGCCTTCAACGCAACGAGACCGGCCGAGTAGAGGACACTGGACATGATGTCGTTGCCACAGAGCGCTGTCGACGGCCACTCGCTCAAGAGGTGCTTGGCGCGTGCGTTGAGCTTGGCGCGAATGTCGACGAGGTCGTCGAGCGGGGGTCGAATCGTGTCTGCCTTGCGGTTGTACATGGAGGACGCGGTCGTGCCAAAGGATAAGGCTTCTGGCGGACTCTGCTGGTGTTGCAACTGGTCGAGACCCGTAAAGAGTGTGAGCTTGTGTCCTGGCGTCGGCGCGGCCTGGTACCCCGACATGCGACTGGCTGGACCAATATGAAAATGATACGTCGGGGTGTGATGTGCTGCGGTCGCCAGGCGATGTAACGGCCGTGCCAGAAAGGCAACTTCAAAACCATCTGGTATTCTGGATCCATCGCAGCCACACACGCGACCCGTCGACAGATGTGCCCCCTCCATGTGGCAAGTGCTTATCCCACACGACAACGCGGCCAACTTGCTTCAATATGTGGGAGCTCGAAAGGTCGTCGACACGCCAACATGCGTGCGTCGTACGGCTAAGTACGCATTGTTCTCGATGGCAAATGCTCGTAGGACGCCTCGATACAAGGCCCCCAGGCCGGAGGATCGATGCGGACTCGTTCTCACTTTGGTCGACGTCGCGTCCGTCCAGTGCTTTGCAAGGCAGGCGTCCCACGGTGCGAAGGTTCGTGGGTTTGTGGCGAGTTCGAGTTCTGTCGTGCGGCAGTAAAAACCCGAATCAGAGCCCCCAATGGCCGTAAACCACCCTAGTAGGTAGCAAGAGGGTAGCAAGCATGATGATTGACCACACACGGACGGAGAAAGGAGCGTTGAAGCAACGTTCTTGACCAAGTGCCACCACCTATATTCTTTCACTTCCACGTGACGACCGCGGTGCGCTGACTCGTCCGGATGTCAGCGTCGCATGCGTCGCGCAGCCACGCCTCACTACTCGCCTCACTAGTATTCCACTCGCCCAGAGTATCCGAGAGACAAGGGTCTACCGCACTAGGGAGACACACTTCGACGCTACTACAATTGTAAAAGCAGTTAGCCAATAAGCAGTTTATTGACAATTACGACCTACATGTAGTATGTCCTTAGTAGTGTGTCCAAGCTTGCGAGAGACGTGTCACTGTGGTCGAGCGAGCGATTATTCGTGCATGTTGCACACACTTGTGCTGGCAAAAGCGCAGCTTGGCGCGCTTCCTGTTTGATGGGTATGAAGGCTAATGCCAACGAGGCTAGGATCTAGCAGATGATGCGCATGCCTGCATGAGAACTGGTGCTTGGGCCCCGCCTGCGTGCACAAGGCTATTGCCTCGTGCCAAACGTTGGGTGAGGGCGGCGACTATTGTATTTGCGGTTGGGCGGTCGCCTCATTCAAGCGCATTTGAACCTGCTTCGAGCGACGTTGACCATCACGGACTCCTCTTGCAGTTGGTTCACGAAACGATGTCGACAACGAAGGAGCAACTCGCAGCAGGCCAAGGACACTGACGCTCCTCTGGTAGAGCCAAAGGAATAAAAGACTATCCCGTAACGTTGGCGACGACGTTCTCGCAAGAACGTCGAGCCGTCGACGGTGGCGTGGTCGCTACGGTGACGGCCCGACAAGAGTACGATAGCGCGGTCTCGGTCTCGTTGTTGTGGTCATTGTAGGTAGATACAATAATGGCACCAGGGTCGATGGTGTGAACAAAAGGCAGTCGATGGCAACCAGGTTCCATGCAGTGGCGTAAATGAGGTAATGTACGATGGATTTAGATTAATGCGTAGCTACAGAGGACCGGAATTAGCCCGTAATGACACGGACACCGCAGCCCGAGACCTTGTGGATCGTCGAGTTGGTGGGCTGCTTGATAAACATCATGTTGGTCGGCATGTTGTACTCCTTGCTGAGCCACATGATGGTCGGAGGGCTAAACGACGCGTGGATCGACACAAAGTCCGTCTTGATCTTGGGGTAAATCCGGTCAAAGAGCGCGACCATTTCCTTGAGCGAGTGAATGGTATCCATCGCTTCGTCCGTCACCTCGGGGTACACGTGCACGAACCGAAGCGTCGTCGTCATCTCGTTGTTGCGGACGTACAAGATGACCTTGTTGAGCACCGTAAGGTCCGGGGACTTGACGAAGAAGACAAACGGCTGCTCCTTGATCGACTTGATGGTCTTGACGAGCAGCGTGACACGCTTGTTCTCGCGTTCAAAGAACCGAATGTTGTCTTCCTTGACGACCACGTCCATCTCGGCCGCACGACGCTCAATCTCTTCGTTGATCTCGAGCTTGGTCGCGCGCTTGTGCGGCAGCAAATTGGCCAAAAAGATCAGGCATCGGAGGACGGTCACGCGCGCCAGCATCGTGTAGACGACAAACGCAACGCCAAGCGCGTAGTAGGCAAAGTACATGAGCACTGCCGGGTCGCCGAGGAGGATGCCAAAGTACCCGATCGCAATCAGCGTCGCGCCCGAGATGCACGCCCACCACGGCGCGTGGACGTCGCGCGGAATGTCTTGGCGCTTGATCTTGAGCATCATGCAGCCCATCGCAAAGAGAAACATGAGCGAGAGGAACGAGTAAGTGTAGACACCGCCGAGGATGACGTTGTTGCCGTTCAAGAGCAAGACGAGCGACGCTGTGAGGAGGAAGAAGCCAAAAATGATCCAGTGGTTGGTACGGCGCCACTTGTTCTCAGCCGCAAAGAACGCCGGCATGACGCGGTCGGACGAGAGACGGCGCACGAGACCGTTGATACCCACGTAGGACGTCAAGACAGCGCCAGACAAAACGACAAACGCATCGATCGAGACGATCCACGCGAGCCAGTTGCCGGCCGCAACTTGGGCCATGTTGGCCAGCACCGTGTTGGCGTTGGCTTGAAGGCCCGATGGTCCATAAATTGGGAGCACGCCCATCGAGAGGATCGAGAGCGTAATGTTGTAAAACGACGAGAACGCCCACATGTTGCGCAGCGTCTTGCGGAAGACGCCGGGCTGCTGCTGCTCGACAAAGTTGGCCGACGATTCGAACCCCGTCACGCCCAGCATCGACGCCGAAAAGCCAAAGAAAATGGCCGTAAACACGTTGCCGTCAATCACCGACCCGACAAAGTCGACGTGCGGGTATGCCGAATGGTAGTTGTCCTTGATCACGTCGGGATTCTGGATCGTGTGGATGAGCGACGCGACAACGAGGATCGAGAGCGTGATGATGTGGAAGCTAAAGATGATCAGCGCGACGATCGACGACTCAGCAATGCCAATGAGCACGAGGAGCGCAAAGAAGCCGAGTAGCCCAATCGTTGTGCCCACGACCGGCAGCGACGGGACTGAGTACTGCAGGTAGTAGCACGCCGAGGTTCCCGAGACAACGGCCGTCGCCGTGTACGCGAGGATGCTCAGCACGGCCGCAAACGACGCAAAGCGCTTCGACGTCGTGTTGAGGAGGCAGTTGTACGACCCGCCATTCATCGGGATCGCCGTCACGACCTCTTCGTAGATAAAGCGGAACATGTACAAGATGAGCGAGATCATGCACATGCAGATGGGCGCAAGCTTCCCGGCCTTCAACGAGACGATACCGGACGAGTACATGACGCTCGACATGATGTCGTTGCCGCAGATCGCCGTCGAGGGCCACTCGCCGAGAAGGTGCTTGGGCTTCTCGAGGTCGTCGCGGATCGCGTTGAGCTCGTCGGTCGGCGGCGTGACGTTCTCGTGCTTCCCGAGCTCTTCCTGGTAGATGAAGGACGGGCCGGTCGCCATGCTCTCGGCAACCGTGATCTGGAAGACGCGCTTCCGCGTCGTCGGCGGCGGCGCGACCGCGGGGCTCGCCAGCGCTGCGTACTCGGTGCTGCTGTCCATGGCGCTTGAGAAGGAGCTGGCAAATTGGCAAGTGAACGAGTGAAACGACCTCCAGTGCTACCGAGGGACCTCGCCAAGTGCACCAACGACTTGGTTCTTGTATGCAAGATCGCGACGGCGCGACTCACGCGTTGACCTTTTATACGGAGAACAGATTTTTTCAGGTCGTTTCTCATATTAATATATCGTTTGCATACAAAAAGAAAATGATTTGAGTAGACGTGTGTATTGTATTGCAGCCCACTAAGATTCCATAGATATTATTTTGCTCACGCGCTAGAATGCAGGAGGTCCTGCGACGACGATAACGACGACGCTTGGCCGTCCTCCGTGCCCTGGGACACTGTCTCGACGCCCGGTACCTCGGCACCAAACTAGCGCAGAGAACGACTCGGATAAGGACTGTACTTTAGTTTGAAATCATGTCTCCCATGCACCATGATCATCATGCTCGCAAGGACCGCGCTGGTGGTGCCGCAGCGGGTGGAGATTTTTTTGGCGACCAATGAAAAGCAGTGGCATCATTTTGAGCGATGCGGATTGGTCCGTCGAATAAATGCTCCACCACTCATTATGCGCACGACGACAGAATGCATGAGGTGCTGTCACATATTGGCACCCGGTGGCCCGCTCACCCCAATCGAATATTTACATCGCAGCGCCACATCACACGCCCGCCACATCGCCAAGCGCACCTATACAACGGCTGCCACCTGTGACTGAATTCCGCGGATGCAAAGCTCCAGGGCCGTCCATTCCAGGCCTCCAATAGGACAGTGGGTGCATCACCCTGTGCAGCACCCACAGCGTTCGGATCGACAGCCACAAATCGTTGAAGCTGCTCTGGCCTCACGCCGGTCAGATTCATCGGGCCAGGGATCTCTTTTGCAGTCCACTTTGGTTCATACAACTGCTTCATATGCAGCACGGGATGTGAGGTTGACAAATCCGAGGATTTTGTGCTTGCAGCACTTCCGAGCAGCGGGATGTGTTGCACGGGGAATAGCACCATGGTTTTGATTCGTACAGTAGCGTTGCAGATGCTTTGATTGTACACTGGGTAGCGTACACTAATCGGAGGCCTACTTCCGAGCTTGCCACGGATCCATGCGTGCTTCAGTGTCACCGACTGAGAACGACGCAGGTGCGCTTGCCACGTCATGGCGGTTTCACGCGATGGACCAATTTCGGTCACAATGGTGGCCACGGATTCGCGTCAAGTGGGACGCCAGGCGTCTTAGATAAATGAGATAAGATATGGATGGAAATCTTTACCGTATACACAGACTAAAGACACCTACCAAGACTTATGTACTAGATGCGTGTTGAACGTCGGCGGCCAAAAGCTCTTCAACTTGCACGAGTTCCTCGGCCGGCAGTACATCATGCCTTCCGTCGTCGGGATGCGCGTACGAGGTACAGTCGTCGGTGCGAGTTT